AGTGGCTGGTGGGTTTAAACTGACAACCTTCTGGTTAGCAGTCAAATGTCTTAGGCACTACAGCACCAGAGAGAAAAAAAGAAGAATGGTATTTTTTAGGCTATTACTTTTGAAGAATCTTAATCCCTTAATTTAAAAATTCTCAAAAACTAAAGGCTTTGTTTTATGGCAGCTCTTATCTTTAGCTCATGCAAGAAAATGGAACCTGTCAATATTCTACAACCAAAGGTACATACTTTCCTAAAACCAGAAAAGTGAGTAGTCACTACCAAAAAAAATTCATTCATCAATACATTAAAATACTTCAGAAGAGACTTTTTATGCATAGATATTTGGTGAAAACCACACAATTCTACAGACCCACAATTACCTAACTGAGTAGCAGAGAGTCTAGGGTCTTTAAGATCTATTGAACTTTGAATCTACAAAGCTAGCCATGTTTGCTTATATCATCTTTTATATTTCAACAAAGATATCTGCTTATCTTTCTATTGGGAATTCAGTCCTCTAATTTAGACAAGTACAAAACCCACAGTGTTTAAATAGCTTTAACAATCTACAAAAACTATAGAATACGTTTACTCGTTAACATGGTTCAGTCAACACTGCAGTTACTTCATCAAAAAATACCCTGCAACTATTTCAAGATCTCCACACTAGGAAACTCAGAATCTGCAATTCAGAATAGCTTATTGTATATACCTACTCTGTTACAGTTGCAAAAGCTATACAGTTGTCCCTTTGTATCCATAGGGGATTGGTTCAAAGACCCCTGCGGGTACCCACAGATGTTCAAGTCCTTCATATAAAACACCATAGTATCAGTATGCAACGTAAGAACATCCTCCCGTATACTTCGAATTATCTCTAGATTACTTATAATATCTAATAGAATGATCCAATGTAAATAGCACTTTATGCGCCCTCTTACCTTCGAAGGATTAATTTGACCATTTAATTGCTCCTCATGATATGGAGAGCAGACTATACTTAACAACCTATACAAATGACTTTCCTCTTCTCTCAGCTCATAACTTATTCCACACTTAATGATCTTCTATTCAGTTATGCATTTGAAATTTTGTTCTTGTATAGAAAAGGACCTGATTCTGAATCTAAATCTTTGATACAATAAACATTTCAAGTCTGAATCAAATATTATACCACTAACAAAAAGGTTATTTCTAGATAATTCCCTACTCTTCAACAACTGAATTAAGCAGTTTTGATACTCAATATGATTTTTCATCAAGGGAATACTCACTGTGAAATCCTTCATGTGGATTACCTACACAGAAGTTCCACGCGTAGGGCTATGGCTCTAACTCACTGAGTAGTAAATTAGTTACAGATCATGGTGAAAATTCATTATGCACCTTCAATTTTGTTTTTCTTGCTAGTCTATTGTGTTTTGTATGTTCATAATCAAACTTAATATAACTAAAAAAATGTTAAAACTCTGATTGGCTTATAGCTAAAGGTAGTTGTCAATTCTTTAACACCTTTTCAATTTGGATATTTTGGATTCAAAGCCAATTGCTTCATCCTCTGTCTTTTCCTACTCTTAGCAAATCACCCAAGTTCTCTAGGTTCTCACCAGCCCTATAATTTGAAGTTACTTAACTAATTTATTTTAAAATTAGTAGATTACCTTTGTTGTTTATACTGTGTGGCCACCTCCCTTCTATCTACCTAGTTTGGTCTAGTAAATTGTCTCTGTGCAACTCAGTGTGACTGTGTAATGTGTAAAAAAGGAAAGAATTGGTCAACTCTCTTTACCTAAACATCATTTTGGTTTTCCTCGCCCTCTATCTACATCTTATTATTCTAATATTAGACAGGGACATTTAAAAAATACATAGAATTCACTTTTAAGTCTAGTGTCTGCACAGAACCACTTACATCTGCCCCAGAGCAAAAGGGTAAGACATACCTCAGGGTTACAAATGCTAGAGAAAGTGGCTTGCAAAGAGAGCAACAAAGGCAATGGCCTATCCTAAAGGATAAGAGCAGCTCAATTTTTTTTCTAAATTAGAGGCAAAGTAAAACAGTTGCTAATGGCCAGAATATAAACTACCCTAGAGATATGCAAATCAAACTACTAAACTGTCCCTTTTTTCTGCCTGCCTCTTTCACTCACTGGTACTCTCCCTCTCCACCACACAAAAAGTATGGAGTACCATCAAGCTGCCCCACATCCTCCACTGTACTTCTCTGCCCAACTGTTCAGTCAGTGACTCATGTACCCAAATCAACTACTTCAAGAAGGAAGCAACTGGATTTTGAAGTACAGTCTGTGCCACATGTGCAGAACCATCTGCATGCTTATGAAAAAACACAGATTCCCAGACCTTCCTCAGATCTACTAAACCAAAAGCATTTTGAGAACCACTGTTAAAACATTCTATATTTTGTATCTGCATTTTGAAAGATAGCTTTATCAATTACATAAATCTCCAGATTTTCAGACAAAGTTCAGGAAAGAATTAGGTCAGAAAAAATAAATATTTCTGTCTGGGGAAAGGAAGTTTTACCAAATCACACTACACGTACAATGTTACCTCTGCTCTTAAGTCAAGTGAAAAGATGGCCTGTCCCTTTCAAACTATAAACAAATTTTAGTGTTATATGTAGCAATAGTAAGTTAAGTACTATCACTCAGTCTCTCGTCCAGGTCAAGAAATCTAGCCACGCTTCTTCTTCTTCAGTTTAAATTGTTTTACCTGCTGTTTATTTTTATTTGCGTTTTCCTTTCTCTTCTTTGGGGGAAAAAAAAATTCACCTTATTTTTGAAGTTGTTTTAAATTAGAACCAATAACAAGTAACTGCTTAAGTGCTAATTGGTGGGTATCTACAACATGTGAGGCACTGAATTGTTAATTTCTGATTTAATTCTCAAAACAACCTGGCAAGATGGGCAGTGCTATTTTCCCTTACAGGTAATGCAATTGAGGTTGAGGGAAATTAAGCAACTTGTCTATGGACCCAACTAGGATGGAACCCCATTAGGAAATGTATAAATCATAAGCCCATAGTCCTTCTACTCCATCATCCCTTCGCAAAAAAACCTTTCTTATCTACCTGACAGCTAAGTAAGTGCAGCTGAGACTTAATCGGAAACCCAAGGAGAGGTCGCTATGAATCAGTCCAACTTGACGGCACATAATAATACGGCTATCAAAGGAGTGCTGATGGCACAGTGGTTAAAGTGCCCAACTGCAAACCAAAAGGTTGGCTGTTTAAACCCACCAGTCGCTCCATGGGAGAAAGATGTGGCAATCCCCTTCAGTGTTGGATTCCTATTGGGCAGTTCTACCCTGTCCTATGGGTTCCAAAAAAACCAAACTCACTGCCATCAAGTCGATTCCAACTAATAGTGACCCCTCCTTGGGTTTCTCTATGGAAGTAGATAGCTCAATCTTCCTTCTGAGGAGTGGCTGGGGGGTTTGAACCACCAGCCCTCTGGTTAGCAGTCAAATGCCTTAGGCACTACGCCACCAGAGCTCCCTCCCATAGCGTCTCTGAGTTGGAATCGACTAGATGGCAGTGGGTTTTGATGGATAGTGTCTGCTGTCTTAAGCTACATTAAACCTACCCTCTGAACTAATCCCTGTATGTAGGGACAACTCAAACTGATTTATTTAGCAGATGAATTTAATACTACTTTTCAATCTACTTCCGTAGTGAGATGCCTCAGAGACCCAAGGCGGGGTCGCTAAGAGTCGGATCCGACTCGATGGCAATGGGTGTTTTTTGGGGTTTTTCCTGGTAATAATCAAACTAGTCTAAAAGGGAGATAATTAAATCACCATAAAAGTTTCCTAGTTAAGGGGACTAAGGCATAATGAGAAAACAAGAAATATCATCTCCTGTTGTTTCTGTAAATAGAGAAAATGTGAAGATAAGGTGTCAAGTATCCTAGAGGAGTCTCCATCCAGCTCCTCACATTCCCTTCCAGCTCAATTTCAACAGCCAAGCAGCCTTACTCATTTTTATCTTGCAAACTTTACAAACTCACACCTCCAAGGCATCCTTTCTACAAAGCCCTTCCTTTTTTTCTTGGTTTGAAAAAGAAATACAGTCAACGGAAACTTCTGTAAACAAAGCACCCAAGCCTTTCTATGGTTAAGCAAGAGTCCAACTTAAGTTACTATTTGGCTGATAACACTGACAGGGTATGGGAAAAAGTGACTCATGTGTGCCCTCACTGTTACCCTAAATGGATCTCATCCTGACCCTTTTCTGTGTCCTTCCCTTGGTGAGTTCAGGCATGAGGACCCTCAGTGTCCTCAACCTTGTGAGGAGCCTTGGGCTAGACAGGGCTGCAGCAGCAGTTGGATCTTCCTCAGAACTAAGAGTTCAAGGAAAAACAAAAGAGATTTTTCTCTCAAAAAGAGAGACTTTATCTTTCAGTCACCTGAAATCTTATCCCACATGCCCCATTAATTTTTTTTAACGCAGTCACCTCAGGTATGTGGCTTAAAAATGTTTCCTCTCATTAAACATAAGAAAATTTTGGAGAAAAGGAGCACATCTAAGTTATCAAGAGTTCATTTAAATTTTCTAATGACTGCTGTTTAAATTCGAATATCTACAAGATCACTAGGAGGCTCAAACCTTACAGATAGTTGCTGAGTTATAACCAACTAACCAAACTCTACTGACCTATTTTCCCAACACTTTCCAATTACAAAAGATCATCAATGTTATTCTCTTGCTTTTGCTGACTATTAAAGTAGCAAAAGCATTCTCCAAAAGAAAGATATTTTAATGTAAAGCAAGTATTCTACAAAAAAATTCTACCGTATCAGTTAACAATTATCCAACAGAGAAGTCCTTCCAAGTACAATATTAAAGTTATCATGAATGGCACGGGGTCTTTCCCAAAGGAAACCAAATGGGAGAAAAGTTATAACCCTGTATTTTCAAAATTATATTTGGCAGATTCAAACATGAAAACAAACAACTTTTTGATAGACTCTTAAATACATACTACTTACATGACACCTTGTAGAACTTTCTGGGGATCAGGGTCAAATAGCCTGTCAACATAGTGGCGACTGCTAGCTGTTACTTCCTAGAAAGTGGGGGGAAAAATTATGACATCTGAAGCCATGCAAATCACAAATTCACAGCATCACCCACAAAATCAAATAGCTACATATTCTAACTTAAGGTAGATGCATTAAAATTCCTATAGAATACTTAGTATTATATGCCTCTTATGATATGTAATATTAAACAGTGATTTCTCCCTTTCAAGTATTAAAAAAGTTGAAAACTACAATGTTCTTTTAGTTCAAGATGCCAAAGATCAGTATTTTTCTAGAACATCTAATTTTAAAAATAAGAAACTTTATGGAAAGTACCACAAGTTCTACAATGCCTCGAAATTGCAAAAGAGTTTGGGAAATCAACAAAATTAAAACACACATGATGATTTTATTCATTTAAAAGTTAAAATCATGGGGAAAGTTTAAGTAAGTTTTTATAAATACATTATTGTCACAAGACGAATACTACAGTAAGAAGGAGGACACTTAGTTCTTACTAAAGAACAGCGCAGTATAACCTTTGTGGTGAGCCCTGCTAGCTCTGCCAACAGAAGAACTAGGCCTGTGCATTAAGAAACAAGCTAAGTTTCTTAATTAACAGCTGAGTGTTGTATACATATAAATAATATATAGGAATGCTACTTCTGTTTGGGACCCACAAAAGGAAAGAAAATTTGGCTCTCAGCTAAAGGAAAAAGGGTACAATTTCATGAAACAGTCAACAAGGGGTAATCTAGGTGCAAGAAACAGGCCCTCGGAATGATACAGAGGCCTACACTGCTAGGAGGTAGACATGCATAAAGAATAAAACTACTATCAAGGAGTTGTCAGACTTTCTGCAAGGAAGAAGCAACTATGGATTAGAATGACGTATTAGGTCCAGCAGAGCTATTTAGTCTCAAGTGGCCAAGGGTGAGTAAACTGCAGTTAGAGCATACGAACAAGGAAGACACTTATCTCCTTTATTTCTATTCTGGGGTTTGCTCTGTATGAGGCTTCTTGTAGTACTTTTTTGGGAGGCAATATTAAATTTTTATATTTAATTTTCAATACTTAACATTACTTAAAAACAAAACATGTATGTTTAAAAACCACAGAAAATGGAATTTTGTTCTCTGCTCTTTCTTTCTGATGCTTGCTAGAACATGCTTACCTACTGTTACCCATTAGTAACAAATTATTATAGGAAGGAAGAAATAATTTTCCAGTTTATCCAGATCCCCAAATCAGTAAAATATCTAGTACTTAAATTGCCAAGATACATGCCAGCCTAAACTTCTGAGTTATGAAAAGTAGTCAAAAGAAGAACTGTATAAACTGTAGTTTTCTCACAATCTATTTATTCAAATTAAAGCATATTTTTATTTTATGAGCTTGCTACCAAAATATCCTCAGAGGCAACTCAAGTACTCACTTTCAGAATGTATCCCATTTATAAAGAACAAACAGTGGAAGCAATAAGCAAAACCAATGGAAATTCTTGCCCCATGATGATAACATTAATGCACCTGTTAATGGAGTCTGCTTTCCTTGAACTTGAAAGTCTACATTTTTCCTCAAAATAACAAAATCACAGTTAGAAGTACTCTTAATAATTATCTGTCCCAATCCTTTGGTTTACAAATGAGACTTCCCATGATCCTTACCAAATGCCAGACTGTCAAATGTTAAGAATGTAATCTTCTATACAAATCAATCAAGAAATGATATTGTTGTTGCTGTTATGTGCGTCGAGTCGGCCCCGACTCATAGCGACCCCTCCTTGGGTTTCTGAGGTGGTATCACTACAGAAGTAGGATTGCCCCATCTTCCTTCCGAGGAGTGGCTGGTGGGTTTGAACCGCCAGCCTTCTGGTTAGCAGTCAAGTGGCTTAGGCACTATGCTACCAGAGCTCCTCAAGAAATGATGGATCTCCTCAAAAAACTATAAATAGAACTACTGTATACCCAGCAATTCCATTTCTAGATCTATACCAAAAGACTTAAAAGCAGAGACTCAAACACCAGTGTTCATGGTAGTACTACTCACAATAGCCAAAAGGTGGAAACAACTTAAATGCCCAACAACAGATAAATAGATAAACAAAACATGGCACATACAGATAATGGAATTCTACTTAGCCAGCAGGAGAAATGAAGTCTTGACATATGCTGCAATATGGATGGAGCTGGAAGATATTATGCTGAGTGAACAAATCAATCACAAAAGGGCAAATACAATATGACCTCACTCATACAAAAACACAAGAAAAGGCAAATGCATAGAGAACAAAGTTTATTAGTGGTTACCAGGGGAGGAGGGAGGAGAAAGGGGGGGGGGATTAATGGTGACAGAAATATTGCAGTGATTAAGGGTAGGTTTGCACAATCAATTATTGTAATCGTTGTCCACAAGTTAACGAGCTCTGGTGGCGCAGTGCCTAAGGCATTTGACTGCTAACCAGAAAGCTGGTGGTTCAAACCAACCACCCGCTCCACAGAAGGAAGACCTGGCAATCTACTTCCATAAATATTTACCACCTTGGAAACCCAATAGGGGTCACTATGAGTCTGAATCGACTCCATGGCAATGGGTTTGGGGTGTGTGTGTGTGTGTGTGATAGATATATACACAATGATGACCAAAAAAAAAAAAAAAAACAGCTGCTGAAGCTGCTTATGTACCAACCAAAAACCTCATGGGATTTGGTTCATTGGTTTGGAGGTTTAGGGTCATAGTTTAAGGGGACATACCAGTTAATTGGCCTAATAACATGTTTAATGCTTCTGTTCTTCCCCCCAGTTTGATGTGTGGTGCCTGGGGTCTTAAAGGCTAGCAAGCGACCATCCAAGGCACAATGATTTACCTCTACTCACCTGAAATAACAGATGTAGAAGCAAAGTCAGGAATAGAAAGAGGATATGGAATGTATGGCAAATTGCCTCCATGAACAGCTGCCATCTTTGCCATAAAACCAGAAGAATTAGATGGTGCCCAGCTACCATTACTGAACATCTTGATCAAAGATCCATACAAGAATCCTGATCAAAAGGGGGAAATATACAACAGTATGTCAAATCTCATGACTTCAGATTTCTTAGAGTCATGAAGGTTGAATGAGCCCCTGAAACTACTGGCCTGAGATCAGCTTTAAACCTTAAACAAAAAACTCCCCTGAAGTTGTCTTAAAATCAAACAGTTTAACTTAATTAGTGAAAAATGTCTGTTGTGAACTTTATGCTCTTTTAAGAACTACATATAGAATAAAATTGACAATAGCAAGTTGAAAGATTAAATAAGAACTGGGGGAGGGCAGTGAGTTTATGTTAATGGAGGAGGAACAACTCAGAAAGGGAGGGTGAGAAAGGAACTGGAAGAATTATAACTGGAAGAGTATAATTAATGTTGAGGAATTATACATGTAGAAACTGTTGAATTGGTATATGTTTTACTGTGTAAATTCTCAATAACAACAATAAAATAAGATTGTATTTTAAAAAAAGAAATAATGTGGCATAGTGCCTAAGGCATTTGACTGCCAATCACAAAGCTGGCAGTTCAAACCCACCAGTCACTCCTCAGAAGGAAGGTTGGGCAATCTACTTCCGTAGTGTTATCACCTCGGAAACTCAAGGAGGGGGTCGCTATGAGTCGGGTCTGACTCGACAGCAGTGAGTTTGGTTTTGGATTAAGAGCAAAAACCTTGGGAAAACTGAAAGAACTATCACTGAAAAACAAATTGATGAGTCTTTTTCACTCCATTTGAGTACATGTGTTTTCCTGGCTTTCTAACAGTCAGTTCTTCTGAGCTCCTAAGACCTTGGTCTCCTGCCTACTCAAGGACTGGTCTTTCTGTTTACTATTATCTTGGTACTCCCTCCCTACAGCTCTACATCTCTCACCTCTCAATGTAGTTTAAAAAAGGTACAGTACTTAAACTTAAGAGCTGTATCTTAAAAATAATTTTCACCCATCAATAGTAACTCTTTTGGCTGCTCTGTACCTGGTTCACTCAATTCAGCAAGCATTAATTGAGCATCTACTATATGTAAGGCACTAAGGAAGGCCAAACATGCAATCAGGATGTGTTAATTATCACTGGTGACTGGAATGCAAAAGTTGGAAACAAAGAAGAATCACCGGTAGTTGGAAAATTT